AAAGTTGGAAAATTTTGAAGATAAGCATTTGCATGTGGGAATGCGCCAAGGTAACTAACCCCACTCAGCAATAAATGTGTGAAATGACCGCGGCATTCATCTCGAAGGCGCTTGAAGAGTTAGGTAAACTGCATTATTATGACTACGTCACCTTCACGTTAGCCTGCCGATCTCACTTTACTGGGCCTAAATTTAGGCCGGGCTCAGAAGGCGGAAGTCCAAGCCCAGAACAGGAAGCCCGCATCATCAACCCAAGTCCAAGTTTTTAACATTGTTCATGATTTATTATTATTATTTTAATGGAAAAGAAGCTTCATTAATAACTACTCATGAAAAGAAATTACACCTTTAGAAAGGAAAGCAAATAAGAAAGATGGATACGAATCTCTCCATGTAAGAGTCTCTAAACATGATGAACTAAATTGACATAAGCAATGTGCAACATCATTTACGAGCCAGCTAACATGAGCAAAAATGCGTTGGTTGAAACCGGAAACTTCTCTCCTAATCTCCTCCACAACAATGACCATAAGATGTTAAGCACTCACCAGTTTAATTTTCACTAATTCCTTAAATAATAGCTAAGGCATCTAATTCTATGATTACCCCCTCAAGATTAAACCTTTATGCAAGCTTCACTCCTTCTAAAATCACCAGGCATTCCACCAAAAGCAGTCATAACTGCCAATACTGAGCCCGCATCATTTCAAATAACAACACCAAAAGCAACCGCTCCGAAAATGTTACCTATAGCTCCATCGCAATTCACCTTTGTTAATCCCGCTGGTGGAGGAGTCCAATGGTCTCGATACTCACTTTGTGAGGCGCAGCGAGAGCTCAGAATACTAGAGAATTCTGGCACCGAGCCCCTAGCTAGGAGCACCATAGCCGTTGTTTATGATTAGTTATTATTCATTCTTGTGAAAATTATGGATGGGTATTAATCGGTTTGAACTAGTACAACCAATCGAGCAAATTAAGGGTCTCTTTGGCAAACCCATAAAACTGGGTCGGTTCAAATCCTGGTCCAATTTTTTGGTATTTTCTATTTGGAGAAAAACTAGGCCAAGCCAAACCAAGTCAGAGGTGATCCATCTCCCCCTTAGTTTAATCCTGGCCCGGTTAAGGGAAAACTCAATTTTCTGGCCCTCACTTTTTCTTGCTGGTGCTCCACAAATTTTGTATTAGTCTATTTTTTTTTTATTTCAATTAATTTACATCATTTTTCTATTGATCTAAATCTGCGTGCTCTTTTTACGAGCCCTTAGTTCACATTTTTCTCTTACCAAGCTAGCTTATTTTTTTAACCGTATTTGGATCCAAGCTAAATCAAAAGAGACAAACCCTTCAGTTCAAGGTACAATTTAGAACAGTTTGATTGGTTCAAATTGATCAAAATTTGATAAATCTTGTTGTGTGATTTTATTATTTATATCTCATTCCGAACTCCAAATGTCTTTATATGAAATTATGTCACAGTAGGCTACAATCTTTGCTTCAAAACAAATCCAACCCCCACTAGTAGAAAATCACACATCCTAGACGGAATATCCTAGACGGAAATTTTTCCGTCTAGTTTGCTATTAAACTAGACGGAAAATTTTCGTTTAGAATATTCCGTCTAGAAAAAAATATTCTAGACGGAAATTTCCGTCTACAATATTATTCTTGACGGGAATTCCGTCTAGAATATTCCGTGTAGGATGTATTCTAGACGGTTTTGAATTCCGTCTAGAATATTCCATCTAGGATGTATTCTAGACAGAATTTCCGTCTAGAATACTACATCCTAGACGGAAATTTCCTAGACGCGTATTCTAGATGGAATTCCGTGTAGGATACTCATCCTAGACGGAATTCTGTGTATCTTAGACGAAATTTTCCGTCTAGGATGCCTCATTTTTTAGTAGTGCCCAATTTATTACAATATTGCGATACAAATACAATCTCAATCGAGAGAAAATATCAAGTGGGGACATTCTATGATATTAATTGTGCATCCAAAGGATTTCAATCTTTGGATTTGTACACCGATTCTAAAATTTAATGATCCAATGACTAACATTCATTTAGTGCACACCCAATGACATGAACTCAGATGCAGTTGATACTTTTCTCTCAATTATTTATTTATCAAGAGAAATTGTAGATGAACACAATAATATACACATCAGCACCCTTTAAAACAAACAAACAAGCAATTCTACAGACATCCACACGTAACAAATCAAACGAAAGTTGAGTTCAACAAGTATAGTTGATCATCAGCTAGACGACTAAAAGAATCGGTAGTTTTCTCGAATCCCGCATCAACAGCCGCCTGTACTTGCATTAACTGCTCTGATAAAGTCATCATTTCTCTAGCTCCTATAGCTTTTATGACTCATCGGACCCAGCGAGCACCGAGCACCTGTTGCCATTCCTATAATAAATGACCAGGTGACTCACATCCCTCAACAATCGACACATAGCACATGTTTGCCGACTCAGCTGCCCAGCTAGACTCAACCCAAATTACCTTCTTGTCCCTCATATTCACTATAAGAAATGAGAGGAACTGCATGAGGTACCTATTTCTGGTTTTTTGACACAACTAATAGCTAAATCGATATTTCCTCACTCAAGATCATCTACTGACTTGATCGTCGGAGGAACAACCTAAGAACCCAACTCTGATCTCATACAAGTTCTTTCTTGTGCAGAGAAGAACTGAAAACCCCAAAGTCATGCATCAGAAGGAGTTAGAGGACCTTAATCACTCTAAAAACCAGCAAATTATTCCATGTTTGATAGCTGACATCAACAATACTATTTTGGCCTGTTTTTTGTTAGGTTGCCAAACGAAGTCATCTATGGTTTCTTATAATTCAATGCAACTTTAAGTCTATTGATTACAATGATGACACTAGCTTGCTTAAAAGGTCTTTATCACAACATTAATCAACATTTTGGGACTCCTGAAAGAGTAAAAGTCAGCCTTTCAAGCTAATCTAGCTAGTTTGTGAGTGGATGCATCCTTACATTTACAATAATGTATAAATATCTTTTTCCATATGTAGCGTTAGTATACAAGTTGGCAATTTCTTGAAGTATATGTAAAATAATTCTCAATTCTCAGTTAGTATTCGTCGTTGACTACATTCGAAGTGTTGGGGGAGTAGTTTGGCCAACTAATAGATGATGGGCATTAAATAGAAGCTAATTCAGTTGTTAGGTATTGACTCCACTTGTATTTTAAACTCATCACTTTCCTAATTATATTTAATGTAAAAATATTCACATATTAATAACCTCAACACGAAGCGTTTAAGTTCTTGAGATATTTGGACAAGAAATTAGATCCATGCATGGCATGACCTAATCACCTACATGAACCACCAATGTCCATCTGTAATTTTTTAATTTTGATTGGACTTAATTTAATTTACTTTTTATTTTTTATTTTTTATTTTGGTTGTTTCTATATATTTTTAAATTTGGCCAGATTTTTTTGTTCTTTTCTAAATTTAGGTAGGGCTTTAATTAGAACATTTCTCTTATAGACTATCAGAACACCCCATAGAAAAAGGGTGATGTATACCATTTTCGAATAGTTAGATGGTTAGTTTGATAATTCTGACTTCTCTATTAATAGGGTAAATCAACCGGAGTGGTTCCAATAGGACCCCTACTGATAGGCTAGGTTGATATTTATTACAATTTTTCTTATTATGGGTTTTTCTGATATTAGTAGTCCCCTAATTCTTAAATTTCAAAATTAGTCCCTAAAAATCATTGAGATTGTTTGTTAAGTCCGCAAAATCTTATAAGTCGGTTTCAAATTAGTCTCTCTGTTACAATTGCTGTTCAATATGCTAGCCCTACTTGAGTTAACGACTACTCATGAATGTTTGCTTACCATTTTTTTCCTTCTTAAATGTGTACCTGTCACATTCATAATTTTTTGGACGAGGGCTTCGACAAAGAAAAGAGCGGAGCTTTTGAAAGCGGCAGCCGAAGAGCATGGTTTCGACAGCTAATGCAAAGTTATAACTGAATGAATTAAGCGGTTGTGAATAATTTGTAGTCAGATTGCATTTAGTTTTTAAGTTAAGCTTTTAACTTCTTTTATATAATCCATCATATGCTAATGCTAGGCCTGTCAGCATGTTGAATGTTGCCTTGCATGCTATCTGTGTTGGATAGTAGGTTCCTAATCTGTTTTGGTAACATGTTATTAGGATTCCTAATATATTCTGATAACATGATTCTTAATCTGTTTTGGTAACAAGTTATTAGGATTCCTAATTTATTTTGGTAACATGATTCTTAATCTGTTTTGGTAACATATTATTAAGATTCCTAATTTGTTTTGTTTTTGGTTTTAGAATTCCTAGTCTGTTTTGGTTTTAGGTTTTCTATATATATGAAACGCCTTAGAAGAGATTAGGATCATCAAAAAGAGGAGAGTATCAGAGATTAGAGAGACTTTTGAGCATTGTGAGAGAGAGATATTTTGAGCAAGTTGAGAGCTTTGGTTGAGAGTTAGTTTGTGAGTTTTATGAGATTGTAATCCTTTGTACTCTCCTTGATTTAGTGGAATCTCCCCATCCTCTCCCCGTGGACGTAGGCAAATTGCTGAACCATATATATCTCTGTGTTTATGATTGATTTGTCGTATTTCAATTTTGGATTGTGCTCGTGCATGAGGTTGGATCTCTTCTCTCGTGATCACAGATTCGTTCGGTGCGAGCACGCTTCCGCATAGGCGCGCGACAATTGGTATCAGAGCTCAGATTTGAGATCTAGGTTTTTAGATTAGGTGGAGGAAGATTCGTTGTGGAAGCTTGGTTCTTGGAGTTTTAGGCTTCGGTGGAGATAGGGTTTGGAGATGCCGTTGAAGATCTCACTTTCCTCGTGTGGTTAGGAGTTCTATTTGGAATCCAATCTAGGGTTCAGTTAGGTAATTCCTCAATCCTTTCAAAGTTTGAATCTTTCTTTACAATTTAGATTTTGTGATTATGGGTGAAGAAGTTGGTGAAAACAGCAAAATGGCGGGTATAGTTCAAGTTGAGTTTCAGAACACTAAGATTAGTGTGGTAAAGTATGACAGCAATATCAATTTTGGTTTGTGGATAAGCGATGTTCAGGATGCGCTCAATGCTCAGAATTTGGAGGAGACCATCATGGTCTATGAGAGGCCACCTAAATATGAAGAGTCAGTATAGAAAAAGATGAATAGGAATGCTTGTGGGGTGATCAGGTCTTATTTAGAACAGGAGCTGAAATATGATATGATTAGGGTGACATCTGCAATAAAGATGTGGGAAATTCTCAACAACAAGTACCTTACGTAGAGTATTGAGAACAGATTGCACTTACTGCGCAGGTTATTCAGATTTCAGATGTCCAAGGGCACCACACTAGCAGTTCATATGAACAACTATACTAAGTTATTGTCAGACTTGGCTAATATGGATGAGAAGATATTGGATAAGTACAAGGCTATTATTCTTTTGGGCTCCTTATCAGATGAGGAGTATGATAACTTTGTGCTTACATTGTTGAATGTGAGATCTTCTATCACTTATATTGAAGTGACTAACACTTTGATGATTTATGATTTGAGGAGGAAGGATAAGAAGACTTTCCGCGCTAGTACTTTAGGAGAGGCCTTGTCTATGAGGGGAAGAAGCTCATATCCGAGAGGTGGCAATAGAGGCAGGTCAAAGTCAAAAGGCCATCATCAGCTAGGAAAGAACGAATGTGCATTCTGCAAGGAGCATGGACATTGGAAGAGAGACTGTCCGAAGATCAAGGAGAAGGAGAATAGCAAGAAGAATGGCCCGAAGGCCAATGAGATGAATATCGCGAAAGACGATGATTCCGATGATTCGAGCTTTTCTCTATTGATTACTCCGGAGGTGAACCACTTGAATGTATCAGATTGGATGCTTGATTCTGACACTACTTTTCATGTGACTCCTAGACGAGATTGGTTTTTATCATTTGAGATACTCGATGGGAGTGTTGTTGTCATGAGAAATGATCAATCCTGTGGCATTTGTGGGATAGGTACCGTGAGGATTCGGATGCACGATGGAGTAGTCCATAAATTGAAGGAGGTGAGATTTGTTTCTCAGTTGAAGAAGAATCTTATCTCAGTTGGAGCTTTAGAGGCGAAGGGATTCAAGGTGACTTTTTAGGATACTGTAGCAAAGGTTACTAAGGATTCTTTGGTGGTGATAAAGGAAGTCCGCAGTCAGAACTTGTATTATCTGAAGGGGAGAACCGTGATTGTCCAGGTTGCTTCAGCTATTTCTGAGGCGGACAATAGTAGACTTTGGCATTATAGACTGGGGCACATAGGAAAGAAGTCACTACAGACACTGTGCAAGCATGGGCTATTGAAGGAAGCAAAGAGTGGAAAAGTTGAGTTCTATAAGCACTGTGTTCTTGGCAAGAAGACAAAGGTGAAGTTTGGGACAACCATTCATAGGACGAGGGACATCCTGGATTATGTGCACACAAATATTTGGGGTCCTACCAATACTGCATCACTTGGTGGTCGACATTGATTTGTCATGTTCGTTGATGACTATTCTAGACGTTGTTGGGTGTACACCATGGTGAAGAAGAGTGAAGTCCTAGATATATTTATAGAGTGGAAGAAGAGGTTAGAACTACAGACTGAGAGAAAGATCAAGACGTTATGATCTGACAACGGTGATGAGTACACATCAGACCCCTTTCAGCAGTTATGTCGAGATGAGGGCATAGAGAGATACTTCACAGTTAGTCATACACCGCAACAAAATGGGGGTAATAGAGAGGTTAAATCGGTCTTTGTTGGAGAAGATATAATGTTTGTTGGCGCATAGTGTTTTGGAGAAGATTTTTTGGGTTAAGGCACTTTTATATGCGAGCCACCTCATTCATAGGCTGCCTTCATCTACGATTGAGGGAAAGATCCCTATGGAGATATGGTCGGGAGAGCTAGCACACGATTATGACCAGTTCAAGGTATTTGGGTGCCCTACATACTATTATTTGAAGACTGATAAGTTGAAATCTCGAGCTAGGAAGGTAATATTTATAGGATTTCAAGCGTGGTGTTAAGGGATACAAGTTTTGGGATCTAGTTGATAGAAAAATTATGCTGAGTAGGGACGTCACGTTCGATGAGGCTTATATCTTAAAGCTTTCCAGCTCTGATCAGGTGGAGAGTGACCCGACGGAGGAAATATCGCATGTGGTGGAGATCGATGCAGCTCCACATTATCCATATGGTACAATATTTATTAGAGTGCCGACTGAGGTGACACCAAGCGAGCATAACGACAAGGAGGAGGATACGTGTACAGTTATGCAGGATCAGGGATCGACGGTTCAGGTTCAGCATTCTATTACGGTTCGGAGACAGATGAGAGACATACGGATGCCAGCACGGTACTAACACAGTAGTTGCATATACACTTCCGGTGGAGAGTATCAATGAGTTAGTTCCTACTACATTCAGAGAGGCCAAACAGAGTTCGGAGGCTGATTCGTGGAAGGTGGCTATGCAGGAGGAGATGGACTCTCTTCACAAGAATGATACATGGGAGCTTGTTGAGCTTCCAAAGGGACAAAAGATATTTGGTTACAAGTGAGTATACACGAAGAAGGAGGGCATTGAGGGTACTCCATTGAGGTTCAAAGCTAGGTTGGTTGCGAAGGGCAGTATACACGAAGAAGGAGGGCATTGAGGGTACTCCATTGAGGTTCAAAGCTAGGTTGGTTGCGAAGGGCTATGCACAGGAGGAAGTGAGGGTACTCCATTGAGGTTCAAAGCTAGGTTGGTTGCGAAGGGCTATGCACAGGAGGAAGGTATTGATTGTAATGAGGTTTTTTTTCGGTGGTGAAGCATTCTTCGATTCAAATTTTGCTAGCTTTGGTGACATGGTATGGATTGGAGTTAAATCAGTTGGATGTGAAGACGATATTTCTTGATGGTGATCTTGATGAAAAAATATATATGACTCAGCCATTGAGATTCCGAACTGTAGGGAAGGAATACCTGGTTTGTAGGTTGAAGAAATCGCTATACGGTTTGAAGCAATCTCCTCGACAGTGGTATAGGTGATTCGATGGTTTTATGCTTGGTCATTCGTATGCTCGGAGCCAGTTTGATCCTTGCATGTATTTTCGTAAGTTAAATGGAGGTGCGTACATCTATTTATTGCTCTATATTGATGACATATTAGTTACCTCGATTTCCAGGTCTTATATAGATGAGTTGAAGGCACAATTTTCAAAAGAGTTTGAGATGAAGGATTTGGGTGAGGCTAAGCGTATTTTGGGGATGGAGATCGGCATAGACAAAGAGAAGGATATAATTTATTTGACACATGTGGCTTATTTGAAGAAGGTTCTACAACGATTTCATGTCAGCATGAATACAAAGCCAGCTAGTGTACCTTTGGGAGCCTATTTGAAGATTTCAGCTGACCTCTCACTGAAGACAGTTAAAGATCAAGAGTTGATGTCGAAGACTCTGTATGTGAGAGCGGTTAGGAGCTTAATGTATGTGATGGTATGTACGAGGCTAGATTTATCACAGGCGGTAAGCATGGTTTCGAGATACATGCTCGATCCAGGAGTGGGTCATTGAGACGCCGTGAGATGGATTTTAAGGTACATTTAAGGTACGTTCAATGTTAGTTTGGTTTATGAGCGGGACACTATAGGTGGACAGTTGTGCATTGGCTATGTTGATTCGGATTATGTTAGAGATTTGGATAAGCGCCGGTCTACGATGGGGTATGTGTTCACTTTGACCCGTACGCCGGTGTATTGGAGATGCACATTACAATCTATGGTGGCTTTGTCTACGACAGAGGCAGAGTATATGGTGATTACAGAGGCTGTGAAGGAGGCTATTTGGCTTTGAGGACTTTCAGAAGAGCTTGGTATATCGCAGCGGTCCGTTACTATTCATTGTGATAGCATGAGTGCTATCTATTTGATGAAGAATCAGATTTTTCATGCGAGGACGAAGCATATTAACGTTCTTTATCACTTCATTCAGGATGTTCTTGAAGATGGTGATGTGGAGATCATTAAGGTTCACACGAAGGATAATCCGACAGATATGCTTACTAAGATAGTTCCGAGCAACAAGTTTGATCATTATAAAAGCTTGTTGCATATTCGTGATTATTGAGGCCGTTGACGGCCATTTGGATGAACTACGGGTGACTTGATCCCTTGGGAGAGGGGGTACGCAGATAACCACATTGGTGCAACCGAATTTGGTGAGACGACACATTGATGCTCATGTTGGTGTCAGCTCAGTTTTAGGAATACTTTGCCGAGGCGGAGAATTATTGGATAACAGATTTCTAATTTGTTTTGGTAACAGGTTATTAGGATTTCTAATCTATTTTGGTAACATGATTCTTAATCTGTTGTGGTAACAAGTTATTAGGATTCCTAATTTGTTTTGTTTTTGATTTTAGAATTCGTAGTCTGTTTTGGTTTTAGGTTTTCTATATATATGGAACGTCTAAGAAGAGATTAGGATCATCAAAAAGAGGAGAGTTGTAATCAGAGATTAGAGAGACTTTTGAGCATTGTGAGAGAGAGATATTATGAGCAAGTTGAGAGCTTTGGTTGAGGGTTAGTTTGTGAGTTTTGTGAACGCTTTGTACTCTCCTTGATTTAGTGGAATCTCCCCATCCTCTCCCCGTGGACGTAGGTAAATTGCCGAACCACGTATATCTCTGTGTTTGTGATTGATCTGTCGTATTTTAGTTTTGGATTGTGCTCGTGTGTGAGGTTGGTTCTCTTCTCCCGTGATTATAGATTCGTTTAGTGTACGAGCACGCTTCCGCATAGGCGCGCAACAATCTGTACTTGTTTTATTATCTATATAACTACAATGGTTAGATAAATCATAGATGGTCAAAACGAGATGTAAATATTTCTATCTTATATAACAGCCTTTGAATAGGGCACCTTGCCTTATTTAAAAAAGAACCATTGTGAATGAGTTGGGGGAGAGGCTCACGGTTGGAGGAGAAAGATGTTCTAAACGTTCAAGGGGTAACATCAGGGTATGGTCGACGTCAAAAAGTTCACCTAAAAGTAATATTCCATCCAAAGCAATCAATAGCAAACTAGAGGAAATCAAACAACTTATAAGATTTGGAGGCCTAATAGAAATCACGATTTGGCGAATTAATTTACAGATATTAAACATTTAAAGGGAGTGATATTGAAAACACACTTTATTTATTTTCATTTTGTACTGGTGCCGCGCTCTGGGCAAGGCCAGCCTTTCAATACTTGGCCTCGGTGGAGTTTACCAGATGCGCTATCGTATAACTTTATGGGCTTAAATTTGGATTGGAGTCAGAAGTGCCTCAATAAGTTTAGGGCCACTAATCTGAGCCTTTCCCCATGCTAACGAAATTTATACTCGATGAATACAGCAATCCGAATTTAATATTGAGTGGAATAATGTCTGGAATTGTGCTCCAAGTGAAAAGTCCATGGTACTTCATGAATATTTCCTTTGGTGATTTTTTACAGTTCTTGCGAAGGACCTCATTACGTCTGCATCCAATTAGCCATGATCCAAAGCCCAAAGCCGAGCCCAAAACCGAGCCCAAAAACAATCGTTCATTTCAAACCTGCTAAAGCAAAGGCTTGAACTCAGGACCCCACGATCTTCGAATGACAAATACTATGATCATTACCATGGTGCTAGTGAAAACTATGATTACCATGGGGCTATTGTGACATTTTGTTAAAACAATATACACATTATACGTAGGCAAAACTTAAGCGGAGGAGGTCCAAAATTTAAGTGGAGGAGGTCTGTAATAAATTGATCGAATATCATTTGGATCTTTAATATTTGTAAGTCATCAATAGTAGTCACTAACATCCGTCATCAGTTTAGTATATAAACTTACATTAGATATTGATGATGTGACGATTATGTGGCACTACCATATAATCGTGAAATTACAAGTTCAATATAACAAAAAATTAGTAAAATTACAAGTTCATATTGAACTTGAACTTTCACTAATTTTTTTGTTGACATGGCAAAGTCACATTTGCAAAATTCAAAGGAAGTTTGTAAAAAAAAAAAAAGACCTAAGTTGATGATAGAGATAATGTCAAGGATCCCATTGATGGTTTGCGGACATTAAAAACCCAAATAATATTTAAATATATCGGGAACCTCCACTTAACTTTTGCCTAATATGGAGGGGCCGATGTTGTGGTTGTTCAGACATTTTGTTTGTTCAAAACCTCTCACATGTGGGACTTAGCTAGAAAAGCTACAACCTTTGACCCAAAACATAATTACAGCAATTTATTTCCTCAACAAGAGTAATTGTGGACGGACAACAGAAAATATGCAAACCACCACACTTTATACAAACAATTTCAAGCACTCAGCAACATGGAACCGAACGGTAACAAATCTGTTGATAATAATGTATTGTAGTGGGTTTTAGTCCCACATTGCTTGGGAGAACAAACCTCACACTCCTCTACTTGTATAAATATATGTGCATAC